CTTCGCGGGTGCGCTCTCCCTGTGTGTGTGTGTGCATGCCTGCGATAAGGCTGACCGGTGTCGCGCCGCCCCCGCAGGCGTGAGGAGATCACCCCGCTCAACGGCATGCGGCGGACTTGCACGGCGATGAAGACGGCGAAGGCAAAAAACAACGCCTTCGTCGCACAGCGCCGAAACGACGTGCGCACGCTGTTACGTCTAGCCTATGTCCAGCGCCAACTGCCGCACACAGGCTCCGCAACGCTGACCGCCTTTGGCGCAGCGGCGGAGCAGGAGCCTGCCGAGGACACAGACTCGGACTTTGAGATGTTGACCTAGACCGACGTGTGATTCAGATAGTTGTCTTCAGATGTGTGTGTGATTCAGATGTGTGTGCGTGTGATTTTCGGCACGGGTATAGATTAGAAGGAACGTATCGTCACACACACCCTCTTTGAGAGAGGGACACAGCGTGGTGCCACAGTAGCGGGCTAGCTTCTACAGAGGCAACCGGTCCGAGGGCGAGCGTTTCGCTCGCCCTGATGCGCATGAGCGACGTGGAAGCTCTCGACCGGCGCAGATGCCACGGGCGACACCAATCCCAGCCTCAAAAGGCGAGGAGGGCTGGTGGAGTGCCCAGACGGCAGTGGCTTCCGAAGAACTTTTTGCGGGTGACGCAAAGGATCCGAGGAGAGAGCACCTCGGCTGCCGGCGAGGCATCCGCCCCGCGCCCAGACATCTGATGGAAAGTGCGAAGAAGTGGTGGCGGCAGGCTAGCCACCGGTGGGGCACACGGAGCGATATGGCGTTCGGCTGCGATTTGAGTGCAACCGGGTGACGCATCTCCTCCACAGAGACGCGGGGACGGCGTGCCTGCGAGGCGCCCGATATGCGCCAACGGACCCAATGGAAAGTGCGAAGCGAGCACTCGACGGCTCGCAGCCTGTGGACGGAGCACGAGAGCTCGAACCTCGCACTCGCGTGCAAAATCGGCACCTCGGAGCGCCATTTTCACACCGCATTCGAGCCCATGAAAACAACAATGTACCCCAAGCAGCACGATCACGCCTCGCACCGGTGCGGTGGTGCCGGGCGGCTCTAGGGGGTCAGGCTGGCTGCATGGCACCACCCGTAGCCCGTTTTGCTGCCCTGGCATCACCCGGAGGGGGGATTGAACATAGTATACTAGTCTCTTCTACTTATACGCTATATGACTCTTCTGCATACACAACTCAAAATAGAGGCGAGGTGTGAGAGAGGGCGCAGGCGAGGTGCGGTGCGCCGTCGCGGACCGGGCGCCGGCGCGGTCCGGGCCAGCCGACCTGGGCCAGGAGGGAGGCACAGGTGTGCGGCGCGCGGCGGTGTTGCGGTGTGACCGCTCATGCGAAGATGCCTCCCTGCCGACCCGGCGGCGGCACTACACCGCATCACCCAGCAGCACCGGAGGCGGTACGGGCGCGATCGCCTCGTGCGCCATCTCCTCGCGCACGTCGAGCCAGCCGAGGCAGCCGAGGCAGGCGCTCCAGAGTGGGCAGCCCGGCAACAGAGAGAAGACCCTGCCGAAGCGGCGCGCCCCCCCGCGGCCGATGAGGTGTATCCCCGCCTGCGCCGTGATGTGTTGGCTGAGAGTGTGCGGCCGCAGAGAATGAGTTCAGCAGGGCAGCGCCGACGACGGGAGCCTTGCGTTGGCTCGCAGCACATGAAGTTCGAACAGTGCCACAGTGTCGGCATCTACAAGCGGCCGCCACAATGCATCCGACGAGGAGAGACAGGAGCCCGACCGAGATGAAGGTCAGGCCGATAGCCATTAGTGCACCTTCGTTGTTTCTCATCGACTGCGTGTCCGGGTGCACCTTGATGACGAGCGCGAGCCTGTTTGTGACGGATTGCTGACGTCATATCGCTGTCGCAGAATGAGGCGCGGTTGCCCTCTGAATGCAGGTCTCACCCACCGGCGAGCAGCCCGAAGCCGATGATGATCAGGCAAACCGCGGCGCAGACCTGTGGAGAGAGGGGTCGTCCTGTCCGTCGAGCGAACCGAGGGGTCGGTGTGAGCGTGGCCCACCTGGGTCCCAGAACGGACCGCGAGGGCGACGCGAGGCAGGTCCGGCTTGAAGAGGACGGGCGGCTGCTTCTTGACCACAACGTTCGTCCACGGGGCCTTGCAGATGGTGCACGACGGCCTGCCCGCTCTCAGATACGGGGGCTGCTCATAGTGTAGGTCAATCAGCGTTTGCTGGCAGGCAAGGTGAATCGCGCTACCGCCGGGATACGCGGCGGAGCTGCAGGCGCAAATGTTGGTGATGCCTCCTGGCTGCAGGCAGACGTAGCAGACGTAGCAGTCTGGGATAGCGGCCGTCTCATGACGGACGGTGGTGTTCCATTTTGCGTGCCAACGCCACGCTGTAAACTCGTTCTGAAATTGACGTAATGAAGCAACGCTGCCACCGTTGGTGAGCATGCGCACCGTTTGTCCCTCATTGGCATCAGCGTCGCAGATGGCAGAGTTGATCATGCGAGCTTTGCGGCCACTGTGCAGGAGTTTCGCGTAGGTACTCGGGTTTGCCTCGATCAGAAGGCCTGCGTTGCAACGACAGCAGACTCTCAGCAGCGCTGCGAATGTGGAGGCGATGAGGGATGTTCCACACCTGTCCATCCAAAGCAGCGCTCAAGCATGATGGAATTGGAGCTATCAACGCCATCGAATGCGCCAAGCTCGACAAATGTACCCGGCTTGTTGTCGGCGACATGCAACAGCATTGGGAGCATCAGAAGATCTTCACGAAACTGTGAGCGACTTTCTGAAAAAACGCAAGCCGTGTTCCTCGCCTCTTCTGCTGTCGGGGTCTCTGTGAGCAACTTGAGCGAGGGCTGCAGCGCGAGGAGCAACGCCAGCTGCTCTCGCACCGTCAGTCTGCTCACCCGACGCTGCTGAGTGGCATTAAGTCGCCCGTACAGCTCGTCCCAGCGCTCCCGGGCGGCAGCGACGATGGCTTTGACGCGTCGGCGGGTGGAGGGGGTGGCGCGGCAGCAGCCTCTGCCGGCTGCTGCGCCGCCGTCTCTGTCGCGTTTGCCGCCTCCGCTGTCGGTGCCTCTGCTGCGGCACCCGTCGCCTTCGCCTCCGCCGCAGCTGGTCCAGCCGCTGCGGGTGCAGGCGCCGCGCGCGCGGGCCGGCGGAACCGCTTCGGCTTCCACGCTCCTCGCGAAATGGGTTGTTTGACGGTCTCCGCCTCCTGGACGAGCTTGCAGCTGATTCTAAAGCCGTAGCCATAGTTAACGCCAGGAAAGGACAGCTCGAAGTCATGCATCTGCAGCTGTGCCTCCTTGGCGTTCGCTGGGTCAGCGTACACGATGTTGGCCATGTTGGCCAGCCGGTAGTTCATCATCTTGCTCGTTGGGTCCTTCATCAGCGTTACCTGCAGTAGCTCGCCAAACGGCGAGAACTTCGCACGCACCTGCATCGCGCTGACGTCCGGGTGTAGCCCAGAGACCCTCAGCTGCCACTGGGTCGGCACAGGCGGCCGCTGCGCAGTCGGCTCAGCACCGAAGACAAATGTCGTCTTTGGAGGTGCAAACTCAACCGTCTGCCCAGTCGCAGCGCTCTTCGCTTCGACCGACAGACCCTCGAACCCGGCGGCCATCACCGAGTCCGGGCTGCAGGCATCGGAGGAGCGCCGCCTCTCGGCGCTAAGACGGCGGTGCCGCACGCGGTCGCATGCGACACACATGTCCACAAGGAACTCATCCTCGTCGAACTCAATCGGTATGGAGCACTGGATGCACAGCTCCGAGGGGTGTGGCGCGCTCGATGCCGCCATCGGCGCGGGGAGGGCAACGAACAAGCCTTTCTGCCTTTCTGGCGGGAATGAATTGCGGTGTCGTGGAAAAGACCTAGGAAGGGGCAACCAGTGAGAGAGAGAGAGAGAGAGAGAGGGGCAGAAGAAGGCGCGGGTGGATAGAGCAGCAATGATTTCAGATTCAGGATGGGGTCAAGGCAGTCAATCAGTCGATCAGTACATGAGTCAGTCAGTGGACCAGGCAGTCAGTGGTGAGCAGAGAGGAGAAGTTCAGATGGAAGTGGAGAGCGGAGGCGATAGCGGGGCAGCGGGGAGCAGCGGGCAGAGTGGGATCGATAGAGGGGAGTCGAGAGGCGACATAGTGGGAGGAGGGAGCTATGCTGAGGAGGACGACGAGCTTATGCTGGAGTACATGGGGAACGAGGGCGTGGGCAGCGAGGAGATCGACAAGTTCATGGGGTGGACGACAGTGGATG